GCTACACCACCAAACAGTGACGCACAAAACCACATATGTCTTTTATGTATATGCTTGGAAGAGTAAATATTTTATATCTTTTGAAGAAAGGTTCTAGCTCTCTGTATTGTCTATTTGTGCAAGGATACGAATATACCTATCTGGTACATAGCTGTTTTTCATTACCAAATACCATATTAATCGCCCTAGTCCAGTGGGACCACGGTACTGTAACGTCCGTTACGTTACAGCCTCCTTGTTTGGGTAAACTCTTTGTTAATGCAATGCCTACGGTTCCACATCAGATGGAATCAGATGGACTTAGGGCACCAAACCTCTCGTAGATAGATAAAATTCACATATTATATTCGCCCGATAAATAAAAGAGTTAAATATCTAATTAGTTTTCATTTATAACGTTACGCCTCCAGGTTCTATCCCTTCAGGGTAGAACTCCGCAGTACATAGTGGTCACCATGGTCCCACCAGTAGAACATGTCAAAAATTTACGCGAAACTTATTTAGGCATTTGAGAAAGCAACTATTAAACATCAAGACACAACAGTTTACAAATCTGTATAGGTACATTCCCGTTACAATAAATAACAAACCGTTAATACTTAAATAGAAGTGTTTGAAGTATCTTCTGATAGTTCGGTACGTTTGATATGATGCCTGCAAAAACAGAACATCGCAAAAAAATCTAGGTCATAGTTTCAAGTGCCGCCTTTTAACTGCTAGATAAACTGGCCGCGCCTCCAAAGTATAGCTACAGTACACAGTTATTCGAAAAACATTTTGTCAACTTTCCAAGACCACACCTGGATGATTAGACGTGGATATTGATAGTGTTCTGATACCGGCTGATAACAAATGAACTCATCATTTCAGAGATAGGGTATGATCCGGGTTATTACTAGAATACACATTTATTATTCGAAATTATTAATATTAAATATCCTCCGTGCTTCGGAAGGTACGTTAAGCCGTTGGTCCCGGCTGCATTTGCAGTCGTTAGCACCCACCAATCCACACTGGGCCCGCGTGGTGGGTCATGGCCCAATCTCCCTATTCCATCCATAGGGAAGGCCTGTGCCCCAGCAGTGGGGACATTAATAGGCTGATGATGATGATTCGAAATTAATAGGTATATAACGTCTGTATAGTTCCTAATTAGTTCAGTACCCCTAGCACGAACCAATTTCGAATTCTAATAGTTTGCGAGCGCGAAACGTCATCGTCAAAATTTGTATGGAAACTTGAACAGCAGCGCCACAACGGACGTAACGAGAACTAAGAAACACATTTGACGTATAAAATAGATTGAATTCAACTACTCCAATTCGATAACGGTTCGAAGGGTACTTTTTATACGTTACAGCCTATATACCTCTTATGACCTGCGCAGAGTGGAGTTTGACAGTAATCTGACAGTTAATGCCGATATATCGCTTTATCATATCCCGTTTCGGTGGTCATGCTAGAGGGGCAGGACCCGATTTGGTTGTATGAGGCAACGAATCCTGAATCTTGCACCCGAGACATACCCCGGGCTTACCCTGACAGAAATCCGGCCCTGACCGACATGCATTGTAATCACAACAATTATGTAATCGTAATCAATCTTACAGGATTCACAACAGTGTTTGGTAAGTACATAGTTCATTAACTTATCAATTATACTCATTACCTACTTAAGTATATAAGTATAAGTATTCTATCTAACAGTTTTAAACCTATTTTTACGTCGTTATCATTTATCATACGTTTTGTTATTTTACACCTTTAATGCACGTTGAAAAAATAGATTGAGACAAAATCGATCATTTGGCCAGTTCACAGTATCAGGCCATCGAGCTTTCAGCTAAATGAGTATGTGGAATTTTGGATCAATCATGGTGTCGATTCTGTCATGGTTCTCTAAAATTTAACGACAAGGATACACTGTTGTCAAATTTAAGTTTAGATTTAGTGAATATGTTAGAAATTATACCACTGTTATTGCATTCAAACTACGCCTAGTTGTAGGTGCCGGGAAACTGCTTATGCAAAACCATAGACAATAAACTTCACCTTCGCTTAGATTTTGTATGTAAAATTGCTAATGCGCAGGCTTCCTTGTCTATGGTCGTTACTCAAGAAGTTTGCCGGGATGTATACTCCCCACACCTGATATTAAGTGTTAGTGGCGTCCAGTTAGGATAACCAACTTTTTTCTATCAAATATAGTATTTATGGAGCTGATACATCTAAAAATATAGTAAATGGCAAAAAAAGTGGAAAAAAATATAGTATGTGGTTAAAATATTTATTTATTTACTAATTTCGTACACACACAATAAAACAGATAAGAACAGGAACAAGAAATTTGTACAAGGCACTGCTTATTAGATATTGAAATTTCTTCCAGCAGGCCCGCGAAAGGAAAAACATAGATAGATAGATAGATAATGCGTTTATTTTTTCTTCAACATACATATACATTTATAGACAGAGTAATATAAGACAAAAAAAAGATACAAGAAATCAGCTATGAAATATCCATATGTATGCTGCAGAAAGCAAAAGGCCAAGGCTCGGCTAAACATTTGCCAGTTTTAAGGCAAAATACCGATTTTCAACCATCACCTTTATGAGTAAAAACATAAAATAAAAGTTCGTCAGTTTGTGCCTCCTGAATATAAATAATAAAATACAATACTTACATAAACAAAACCAACATATATATCTATATAGATGTACAAATAAACATATATACTAAAATAAAATATACAAGTGTTAAAAGGAGAAGCAATACAGTTAGGAAACAGTGATTCAAGAGGATAAATAGTGTTCCTTCAACCGTTTTTTAAATGTAGCAACAGTTGCGACTGTCTCTGATTCCTGCTGGCAGCGAGTTCCATAAGCGGGCGGCATGTACCGTAAAAGAGTATCATGCAAATTCGGTTTTATGAATGGGACATTTGAGTACTGATTGGAGATGGGACCTGCAAGGAACATTAGGCGAGTGGGTGAAAGAAAACCTCTACCGAAGATAGGAAGGATATGAAGGATTGTAAAGGATATTGAAGAGGAAACAAGGGATTCTAACATTCCTGCGCAGACGTATTTGGCCACTTGAGCCATTTATTTTATTTTTGAAATGAATATATTTTTGCTGCTCTACGACTTAATAATATTATTTTATTTTAAGAAAGCTTTTACTGCCCTAGGTCTGCTTTAAGCAAAATATAATAGTTTCGCCTACTATATTTTTTTTAGATATATAGTATTTGATGCCCTAATATATTACGATACTATATTATATAGTAGGGTAGTCGCGATTTTATAGCGGAAGCGGCAGAAAAGTGAGCCTCTCCAGCCATCCTCACTTTTATGGCCAATATTACCGAAAATACATAAATTCAATTTTATATGCGCTGTTAGATAATGTTATTGTTATTACCAGCCAGAGTAGTTAATGTTATCGAAACAACATAATACATAATTATGTTATGTATTATGATAATCGATTATATAGTCGCGAAAGGTATTCAATGGTATCTAGGCACTCAAAGTTATCAAAAGTATCTTGGTAGTAAAGAAAAGTAAACGCTAAGCTGAGGTGTTATGGTTCTTAACATTTAATTTCGTGCATGGCGTAAATGAGATGTTATATATTTTTTTTAGCATGTAACTGCTCGATGTTAAAATCTAAAAAAAAAAATTACTAGAAAAAGCTCCACGCGGGCCACGCAGCAGACGAGACAATGCGAAGAGATGGCGCTGCCGTGCAGCTTAAGAAAGGCTAGAAGGAATTCGACACAGCTATCAGACCGAGATGTCTTTTGTTTGGGCCTAAAGGATTCCATTAGAACATTTACTTGTATGCAAGGTGCAAATTACATGCAACTTGAACAAACCCGCATACAAGCTGGAAGTTGCGTGTCAGTTGTAGGTACATTTTTATTTTGCGCAAATTGAAAACGCTAATGTTATTTGCACGTTTCAATTTATTTAGTTTCTTGCACGTTCAAACGTTACCCTTTTGAAATGGAAACATCTCCACTTGTATATAAAGTAAAACCTGCATGAAATTTACACACTCTCGAAAACACAGCAGTTCTGGCGACAGATTGGTGCAATGGTGTCATGTAGCACCTGGTTTTGTACCCTTGTGTACCCTTCAACGGCCAAGTCACACAATACATATATAATAATAAAGAAATCGCAGTAAGGAACTTTAGACTTGGCACGACTTTGTCTAGATTTCATTACTTTTTAGAGATAAACAAGCAGCTTCATCGAGACTTGGCTAGTTTTTTACAGAATGTTTTTGGTGCGATATTATTTTTTACTAGGACTCTCACTCTAATTCAACGAAAAACGAAATTTCGACGAAACTTCGCACTTTTCCTACTATGTTTTGTGTTCGTTTTTAATTATAATAAATATTCGTCGTCGGAATATAGATAGAGGTGTAGATTTTCAAAGAAAGCTTCAATATGATAGTTTATCGTTCAAATTAAGTATAACCTTAAATTGACCAAATTAAATTTCGTTTGAACTTCGTTATCGAAAGTTCGTTTCGGAAAAAAAAAGTAGACCCCCAGTACTAGATATTACATCGTTCGTGTTACTAATTATCCTTTTTTGTAAACCATTCTTATAACTTAATTATCTAATAATCCTAGTATTTCACATAATTTTGAGTTTTACTATAAAATTTACTTACTTACAATATTTGATGACCTTCGTGGCCGAGTGGTTTATACGCCGGGTTTCATGGCGTCGCCGACTCGAGAGGTCCCGGGTTCGAATCCTGGTGGGGACAGATGTTTGTGTGATGAATACGAGCATTTGTTCTCCAGTCATGGATGTTTAATATGTATGTCTATATAAATACACTTATATATGTACAATATATGTATTCTATCCGTTACCCTAGTATCCCATAACACAAGCCTTACAGTGCTTACTTTGGGGCTAGGCTAATTGGTGTGAGTGTTGGAAATGTTTATTTATTATTTATTTCTCTTTACCTAAGCTTCCATCGCTTCCAGCGCCATGTTCTCGAAACCTTGTTGCATCTTCTCATATGGCAGCATCATAGGATCCGTGGGCGGCATGAGTACAGTAGCGGCGAGTACGGGGGAAGTCCTTCCCTCCTTCACCAATAATATTTTAACGAGGGAACGCTCTCCCCCCTCCCCTGTGACCGTACGGAAGAATACGTCGGGGTTGGCGTCCTCGAATATCTCCTCCACTTTAGTGGGGAATTGGAGTTTAGCGTTCGGCGGGAGTAAGGGTACCTGGAAAAACAAGGATGGACCTGACAACTTTGCTTTTTATTGCTTTGGCAGAAGTTTGATTTTTTCACAGCTCCAAGGGACAGTAGACCTGAGTATTAGATATGAATTTCAGTTTGATACCTCCACGCGTTCCTGAGAAAAACGCTCTTGACAGACGAACCGACGAACGGACGGACAACAAAGTGATCCTATAAGGGTTCCGTTGTTTTCTTTTGAGGTACGGAACCCTAAAAAATTGTGTGCACGGACCATACATCTGAAGTGAAACTTCTTTTCTTAAATAAGCTAACATCAGGCGGTGCATAAGCCATAGGGGAATGGAGCAGCGCACGCATCACTCATATAATATATGTATATATTAGGTTGGGGAAAATTTTTCTTCGCAATTAATATGAACATTCAAAACATTTTTCAATTATGTTAGTTTACATTTAACTAAAAAATGTCATTTTGTTCGATAACTTTTTGCCATCTTGTAGGTAGGGACATGATCCCATTGCTATAGAAATTTTGGGGCTTCTGATCAAAAAACCACGACATGTAGTTTAAGCAGTCCGCTCGTGTTGTTAACCTGACACGTCTAGGGCAGCCAAAAAATTTCAACAATGGGCCGTAACTTTTGGCCGCGTCCAAATCGTCAGTCTTTTAGACAGACTACCGGAGAGTTCACTTTACGTTTCTATAGACAGTTTTTTCCACCAGTATGCATATAGGAAAAAATCGGGTGTATCAGACAAAGAGAAGAGATATAACTTGAACTCGCCAGTAGCTCCTATTCAAAAGACTGCCGATTTGGACGCGACCAAAAGTCATGGCCGTACGTTGAAATCATTATTTTTGCTGCCAAAAATCCGCTTGTGCTCCCCTTACTATTAGCGAAGGCAAAACAATATAAAGAAGTTTCATCGACATTGCTATCGTTAAAATTTAGATTGACCCTTTAAAAAACAACCGTAGGAGATGGTGATTATTCTTCGTGTGTATGTATTAAAATATATGAGGAGCTGGCGAAAAAAACCATATAATTACGCATCTAGTCAAACTACTTTTTTTTTCAGTCCGGAATTTAAATCTCAAATAATTTTCAATCAAAGCCGCCTCAAACAGTGCTAAAATTACATAATTTATATATTAAAAACCATGTCAAAAGCTCACAGGAGATATGTCTGTTTTATACAGCTCCTGTAAAATTTAAATTTATGTTATTATACCGTTTTGTTCGCCAGCGCCTCATTTATAAGATTAACAGTTTCAGAAACTGTATCCCGTATACGGTTTGCAGTATAGCAAAAAATGAGCATTATGATTTTGATAATTGATTACGAAACAGAGCACGTTTTTTATTGATACACCTAAGTATCAAATTTAAAATTCATACTAATATTATAAATGCTTATCTGTCTGTTATACGCCGCGGCAAACTTACTGAGCATCAACCATGAATAAGGAAGCCTGCGCAGTATCAATTTTACAAACAAAAACATCTACTGCGCCAGTTTATTTGTCTGTGGTTTTGTTAAAGAAGTATGCCGCTACCTTAACCTATTCGCGCTTAAAACACTGAACAGTAACCCCTAGCACGAACCATTATCGAATTCGAATAGTTTGCGAGTGCGAAATTTCAATGACAAATTTTGCAACTTGAACAGCAGCGCCACAAAGTACGTAACGAGAACTAAAAATCAGTACACATTTGACAATGACATTTCGGACTCGCAAACTATTCGAATTCGATATTGATTCGTGCTAAAGGTACTGAAGTGGAAAAAATATTAAACCAAGCAGATAAAGTTTCGCGCACCCACCAATCTTCTTTAATGCATAGTCCTTAATCACAATATTTACCAACCTTGATATACGGATTGGAGACCTTATAGTTGGCCGGCGGTACATGGAAAAGTATTGCTAAGCCGATCGCTGCTTTGTCAGGGGAGGTGTTTTCCAAAATTAGAGTCACTCGAAACACGGGACCAAGGCCTTCCACCTAGTACAATAAAAATAATTTAATGAAATGAAATTATACTTGAAACCTCTTTTGAATCATCCAATATATTTTAAATGTGAAACTTCTTTACGCACGCTTGACGTGGGGAGTAAGCTGGCGAATGCGTTACGAAAAGTGTGATCGGGCGAGGCGAACGGGAGTGGGGGATATAAGCAAGAGAAAGCAGTGCGCGCGCGTACATATTCTTTCTCTTATAGCTAGTAAATGAAATATGTATATTTACATACATGTATATAATGTACACACATCGACGACCTCCTTGGCCGAGTGGTTTGTATGCCGGGTTTCAGGGTGTCGCCGACTCAAGAGGTCCCGAGTTCGAATCCCGGTGGGGGCAGATGTTTGTGTGATGAATACGAGCATTTGTACTCCAGTCATGGATGTTTAATATGTATTTCTATATAAATATACTTATATATGTACAGAATATGTATTCTATCCGTTACCCTAGTATCCCATAACACAAGCCTTATAGTGCTTAGCTTGGGGCTAGGCTAATTGGTGTGAGTGTTGGAAATATTTATTTATTTATTTATAAATATATATATATACATATATACAGATGGAGCTAAAGAAGTTTCACTTCAGTCATGTGGTCATAAGCACACTCGTTTTTTTTCCTACCACACATTCAAGACATCGTATGGCTGATGAGGAGAATGGGCGCAAGAAACACATCAGCATTTAACAAAAATACGGACATTTACAAAAAAACACATGTCCCTACCAATACAACGTCCACACACAGAATTTGATTGCTGTGTCATATCAGTATAAATACAAACAGTGTTCTTTTAGGTATTAATCATTCAAGAAAGATATCATCATATCACCCAGAAAAGACAATACTTGTCTAAACTTGATGCTGTCACTTTCTTTGTGTAAACAATAGAATGAGACAACACATGTAGCACTAAATTAATTTGACGTTTCTGAGGATGACAGTTACATAGTTAAATTAATGCTGGAAATTTGCATGGCTTACTTACTAATAGATTAAATTATACTTGTAAAATTAAACAATATTATGCTTGTTATGATCTATAGTATCATCATTATCAGCCTATTAATGTTCCCACTGCTGGGGCACAGGCCTTCCCTATAGTATAGGGCAGTGTTTTCTAACCTTTCCAATACTGCTACCCCTGTAACCTATTAGGGAAACAGATTTTACCCCGACTTTAAAATGTTATCATCAATCATCATCAATCCAAGACATTCCAATTTCGCCGCTACAAGACGAAGATCGCTTCTAATAATGTCATCATCAGAAGAAAATCTCGCCCCGCTTCCTACACTCAGCACCCCGCGGGCTCGCTAGCAAGAAGGAGCGCATGTTCTATTTAGTAGTATTATTTTATATTGTTTTCTTATTATTTAGATTTGACCAAATAATTAGGTTCTTTGTTACCCCCGAAGTATGGCTGATTTACCCCCGGAGTGGTCATTACCCCCAGGTTCGGAACCCAGGGTATAGGGACTACAAAAGAAACTACTATTTAATTAAGTTAGGCAAATACGAATGGCTTTGATAAGTGCCAGCATTACACCAAAGGCAACTTGAAAGTTGTATATTATATAACCATTCTTATGCCATGTTAAGGTAACTCATATAATATCACCTATGCTATGACAGCCTTTTACTACGTGCACTGGAAATTAAGAAGCTGTAAATATAAAATCTGTACTAGTGTAGGAAAAAATAATTTGGACGAATCCAAATTTAAGTATACACCAATTGGAATAAAGATATTTTGACTATAATTTCGTTAAGCAATATGTAGAAAGCTGATAGTATGTTAAGCAAGCCATACACGCTAGGATATACCTTACAAGTTTACCTGTACAGTTCAATTGCACATACACGTAGAAACCTGCACAAACTTTCAGTTGAAACCATGACCCCGATCCTTGTAACAATCACCGGACAACTGACGCCTGTGCAAACGACCGCCACACACGCTCAGTTTTACCTGCACAGTTAAACTGCACAGGTAGAAAATATCAAAATTCATATCTTTTCGAGTTGCCTGTACACGCTGTGGTAACCTGTCAGGTAAACCCTAGCGTGTATGGCTTGCTTAAGGAAATCATAATATAGTTCATACCTCAGCAGCGAGACGTACTGCGTTGAGTGCGCCGGCGGCGACGCAATTATCGGCGCGTTCGTGCGCCTGCAGCAAACTGCGCGCGCAAACTAAACGCAGACTGTTCAATTCCTGCTGGAACTTCTGGTGCATCGCTGGCAAACAAAACCATGGGTATAATCATCATCATCAGCCTTCCATTCCCCAGCAGTGGGAACAGCACTTCAATGTGAATGGAGTGTGGATTGGTAGACGCTAACAGCTGCAGATGCATCCAGAGCCAATGGTTTAGCGTGCCTTCCGAAGCAATAATATGTTTTTTGGCAACACATCTACTGACCGACGATTGCGAAAGCTGCAATACTACCACGGTAGTAGATCGAGTTGTTTAACGCCCTGTCTGTGTGTCTATCAAAGCCATTTGATTAAATTAGCCAGCCAACAAATTTACAAGTTTTTTAAAACGTTTCATTATTTATAGGGTTCATGTTTGTCTGACATTGAAATTGTCGAGTGTCTGGAATCCTGTGGTTCGTATGTGTAAAACCGAAAATATTCAATTAAAAGTGTTGTGTCGCGATACGATACCGTAAGTGTTGTGTGTCGAGAACAGTTTCGAGTGAATAGTGAGAATGTGAACAGTGGTACGGGTATCGAACGCAATAAAAGACTTCATCGGAGAGTAGACCGATATGTCTGCCAATAACAGCCTACCCGCAATTACTTCAGTTACTATTTGATCATGGCGCTTGCAACAGTGCCGAAATATCGGAAACTCGCTAATAACAAGGTAAATGGTAACAATCCCGTAAATAACTTATATTGCTATAATGTTAGTGACCATGAAAGTTTTAAACAATATTTTCACGTTTGGAGCTGAAACTAAATCTTAAGAACTTGTAATTACCACATGAAACAATAAAATATATTATTGAATAGAATTGCATTATTACTAGCTGACCCAGCGAACTTCGTACCGCCCTAAAAAAATAGGGGTTGTCCAGCGGACAAAATTGTGAATCTAAACCATTCTCAGATCCCCTTGAACACACACAAAAAATCTCATCAAAATCGGTCCAGTCGTTTAAGAGAAGTTCAGTGACATACACACTCACAGAAGAATTATATATATAAAGATTAGTGTATAATAACTCTATAAAAAATAGATATTTATAATTATTTTGCGTGTATCAGTAAAAAAACGAAAATAAAAATTCTGTTTACAAATATGCACCGGAAACGTTTCTCTAGCAAATATAGCGTCTTACAGGCAGGTGACGTCACACTGTTCTGAAACTCGATCCGGAGGAAAACGCCTAAGAACATCTGTACCTGGTACAACGTGTCATGTGTAGAACCCCTGCAGTAGAGATATTAATAGGCTGATATTGAAATTAAATAAATGACGAATATTCTCCATTCTCGCCTGTTGGGTTCTTCCGTTCCCGCACGGATTGCTCGAGGAACAGCTTGGACTTCTTGGGAATGAGTCAGAGATTTTTGTCTTACGCCCTGTGTAAGGGAGGAAACCAACGCCACGTGAGCATTGAATTCCGCCGTGCATTTCAAGATCTTCACCATCGGGTTAGCACTCATCAATCCGCAATTACCCCGCGTGGTTATGACCCAATCTCCCTATTCCAGGTATAGGGAAGGTCTGTGCCTCTGCACTTATTTTTGTGTGAAGTGCAGATAACCTTTGCAGCGTTACCGGATTTGGGGACGGCGAAATTCTTAAGAAACTTAAGTCGGGAAATGGCGAGTGTCACTAATGATTCTCGAGACGAATAGTTCTCCCTCGGGGGAATCTCCTCCACCAGAACACTCGAGCCTTAGGGGCATGAGCTTAACTATAGGGCGTCTCTGATAATCATACTTCGAACTTAACCGCTGACCTGGTGGACGGGGAAACGCCCAGATAAATATCTGTACCTGGTATAGCACGTCATATTTAGAACCCTTGCAGTGAGGACATTGATAGGCTGATGATGAAATAAATGTTAAGTCACGAACCAACCCAACCGAACGTACTATCTAAGTACAAAGAGTTTTTTTGTATCTCATCTGGCCAACAAGTTAGCAAATATGGCGTCTTACAGGCAAGTGACGTCACACGGCTCGATACAGGGGAAAACGCATAAAGAACATCTGTCATCATCACGTGTCGTGTGTAAACCCCTGCAGTGAAGACATTAATAGGCTGATGATGAAATAAAATAAACGACGAAAATTCTCGGTTCTCAGTTATCATTATCATCATCAGCCTATTAATGTCCCCACTGCTGGGGCAGAAGCCTTCCCTATGGATGGAATAGGGAGATTGGGCTATGACCCACCACGCGCGCCCAGTGCGGATTGGCGGGTGCTAATGACTACAGATGCAGCCGGGACCAACGGCTTAACGTGCCTTCCGAAGCACGGAGGAACTCGAGATAGTAAAATTTTGGTCACCCATCCAATGACCGACCACTGCGAAAGTTGCTTAACTTCAACGATCGCAGCCGACCGCGCCAACCACTTGCGCCATCGAGCTCCTCGGCTCGATATGGGGGAAAACGAAAAAGAACATCTGTTATGCTACCACGGCCCTATTAGCCGCGTCGAAATTTTCCTAGCCTTAAGCTGCAAGGCAGCGCCATCTCTTCGCATTGTAGGTAACCCACTTTTTTTCTAGTAAACTTTTCTTTAGATTTAAACACCTAGCAATTAAATGCTTAAAAAATAAATAAAATCATAACTATAATTGCTATTTCTTCTTTCAAATGTTTAATACTTGAAAAAGTATTCATTTCACATTGTGGGTTACCTACAATGCGAAGAGATGGCGCTGCCTTGCAGCTTAAGACTAGGAAAATTTCGACGCGGCTAATAGGGCCGTGGTAGCATAATGGTCAGTGCATTCGCCCGGATAGCGAAGGATGCGGGTTCGAGTCCCGTCCGCTGCCTGGTCCGCGTGGATTTTTTTCTAGTAAACTTTTCTTTAGATTTAAACATCTAGCAGTTAAATGCTTAAAAAATAAATAAAATCATAAGAACATCTGTACCTGGTATAATGTGTCGTGTGTGAAATAAAACAAACAACGAAAAATCACGGTTCACAGTTCTCACCTCTTGGGTTCTCCCGTTCCCGCACGGATTGCTCGAGGAACAGCTTGGACTTCTTGGGAATGAACCAGGGCTTCGTTCCCGCGCCCGGTGTCAGAGCTGATTCTACGGACGCCGCGTGCGCGTTGAAGTCCGCCGTGCGTTTCAATATTTTCACCATCAAATTACCGCCTGAATAAAATAATTACAAAAAGAAATGAAAATGCGATTCAGATCCCTTGTTATCACACTAATATTATAAAGGCGCAAGTTTGTGAGTGTGTATGTTTGTTACTTCTTCACGTCTAAACGGCTGGAGCGATTTTAATAAAATTAATAATAACTAGCAAACCAGTGAACCAAATTTTCACCAAAAAAAAATGTATTTAATTAATTGAGAACTTCGGAGATTTTGTGTGGTTTCGTTTGAAATAGAAATCACGTGATTTCTCGAAAACCGGAAGTGCTACGTTACTCACATCCGGTTTGTTTGTTTGTACAGTCTTATCAGACTACTCTTAACTTATAACTTAAACATTATCTATATCTATCTCTTACGGTTTGGCCGCTGAAACAGCACCACGGACGGACGGACTTGTCTAATAGATAAGAGATAATAACTTTATTTGGAACAAGTGCAATGTACATAAAATTATGAATCGTTAAATCTACTATAGTTTTACAAAAACTGTGTTGCAGAATTAACGCCCATTCCCGTATAATATGAAACAGTGTTCCTATCAATGTATAAATTAAACAAACTCTATTATTACTAGAGAGGAAAATTAAAATGAGACTATAATATCCACAATTCACAATCCATCGAAGGTAATTTCAAAACAAAAAAGTATTTCTGAGTGCATTTTTATTAATTTTATAACGAAGCAATTTATATATTATTTATTTAGGTATGGAGTTAGCTGACACCCTGGATTAACACATAGAAAATATCCCTAATAAACCGCGGGTAACATCTCGGGGCACAGCTAGTTGTATATATAAACGAACTCCGTGGCCGAGTGGTATGTACGCCGGGTTTCCAGGTGTTGCATACTCGAATCAAAGTGGTTGAACCCGGGACCTCTCGAGTCGGCAATAATACCATGAAACCCGGCGTACAAAACACTCGGCCACAGAGGTCGTCTTAAATTCAATCGATATAAACGGTACATCGCAAAGCATGCAGGGGCATATTTACCCTAAGCGTTAAGGATTGCGATTGATTTACTAAGGTAGCGGTGGTGGTGCAAATGATAAATAGCGTCATCAAACCCTACTTAGCTAGATTCTTCTCTCAAATGAAACAAGTAGGATGAAGTCATCTTAGTAAACTTGGTCATAAATAAAAAATTTAATCACTACTTACTCTTTGTAATCGTAATAAAAACGTGCTCCTCCTGACCGAGCTGGCCAAACTTCATGACTGAAGCGGCATCTACAAAAAAAAATGCAAAAGTTATGTCTTTATAATATTTCTTTTTAAGCATGTAACTGCTTGATGTTTAAATCTAAGGAAAATGTAGCTAGAAAAAAAATCCACGCGGACCAGGCAGCAGACGGGACTCGAACCCGCACCCTTCGCTATCCGGGTGAATGCACTGACCAATTATGCTACCGCGGCGGTATAAGTGGGCGGTCAGTCATGACGTCACCTTTGACGAACACAGTGTCGCGTCTGGCCTTAGCGTCGTACAGATGCACGTGTTTCTACAATCCTGATCTTTCCAAATTTCGTAATATTTCCGATTCCTTTTTTCCTATACTGTTTCCTTAATTTTTACTTGACATTGGCCGAACGCACAAACCGTGCATGCCATAAAAAAAGAAAAAGAAGATGCACGTAACCGGAAGCCCGCGCCACCGCCACTGCTCAACGCTAAGCCACAAGAGGGCGGGTAGTGATGACGTCACCTTTGACGAACATAGTGTCGCGTCTGGCCTTAGCGTCGTACAGATGCACGTGGCCGGAAGCCAGCGCCACCGCCGCTAGAGTGACGCCCAGCGCCACTACTGGCACTAGCGTCAGCGCCACTGGCCGATGCTCCAGCGACAAGGACCACTGACGCTTACCCTAGCGTGAACAAACAAATATTCCTAAGCCACATTTTAAACCAACTACAAACAGGAAAGAAAATTACCAAAATCGATATTCGTCTTATATTATGTATGGTTGTCGTGTATTTACAAAACGTATACTAAATGCCGATTCCAACCTAAAGTATTGCAGTGACAATCTTGTTTTTTAGAAAACAAAAGTGACAGTAGTTGTGATTTTGTAAAATTGGGTTTAATCACAGACATACTTAGATCGATGTAGATAATGCAATTACGCAAGTGTGTGTACTACGCGTGCCAAAAGTGAGACCAATGGTCTTCCTTTTACGCTAATTTATTTCTTCGCGTTACCGGTCTCGATACCGAACGTCAATCATAATGTTTAAAAAATATCTGAAATAGGTGCTTGCTTTGGTCCATGCCTTTTCACCACTTATTTTCCTCTAGTGAGTACTCAAAATCTAAAACGCTCGGATTCCATACAATTTGAAATACATGTTGCCCCTGCTTCAATCTAGGTCTGTCTGGCTGGAGGTGCCTACTCAATCATACTCGTCATAATAAAATCTACTCGAATTAATGCAATTTGTATGTACAAAATACAAACCAACCAACCTTCTTACTGTAGCAAGACAATGTGTTATCGCAACAAATGACGAGCACGCTGTGGTCAGTGGGCATGACCTCCAGGGCGACGATGTGCTCGTCCGTCGCAAACAGCAGGCGGCCTTCCGACCAGTCCCTCTTCAGAACGCATACGGACTTCTCCCTGAAGTAGGTGCATGGTATCTTAACATTTATAGTGAGATGACGAAACGCAGGTGGATCACAAGAGCCAAGTCATACCCCCCTACCCCTTCCGCGCTAAATAATGGCTTGCTCATCAGACAGCCCCAATTTTCAAAGCTTGATGTGTGGTATTAGGAATTAAAAAAAAAGAACATTGTCATTCACGCGCGGTTTACGTTTCACTACCGCAACGCCGAAACTTTTGATGTAATTTTTAGTTATTAGAACGCTCCATGGTTTCAGAATCTTTTATATAGGATTCATATCATGAGTGCAATAATCTTGTATGCAACTGTTTATAATTACGTATGAAAACACTCATGTGACACTAATTTTGACATTCGACTGCACCTCGTGAGATAAACCTTCATTCGTGTTTTAATACACCTCATTATACAGCAGTTACATAAATAACTATTATTATTCATCAGTACCAAGAAAAATAAAGAAAATGATTAAATAAGGCATCTAACGTCCTTGGAAACGCGTAAGTCACTAACAGATTTAATTGCATAATAAAGCAGGTGCAGCTCTTTAAGAATTCATGAACAGTGACAGAGTGGCGTCTAAAAGGAACGCAGTGTGCACAGGTCCTTATATTCTATCACAGTGTGACTGTATTTTCTTTCCTTTTATGTGAACTATTTGGTGCAAAAAAGCTGTGCAGGTGTATTGTTTACTGCTTGATTGAACAAATAAATAATATAAAAAACATATGTACACTCTGTTAATCCCAACCTTGTTGCAACTGTGATTCTGTAGTCAACATTGTAAAGACCAGTTGTCACCATTTGGTATGGTGTTCTTTTGATAGCACACAGCTTGGCCTGCATACAACCAATAAAAGTTAAATTTTTCTTAGTTGTCTTCATGTCAGCAATATTTTGTCAAGTTAATATTATGATGCAGTAATGACATAACTGAGTTAAATTTAACCTTATCAAAGATAATATTCAGTAATACAATCTAACTCAGTACATGCTTGCAACGAGGAGTTTTCTGATCAATATCCAAAAACTGTTCATAAAAATTTACTTCCATAGAATTCCTCTGAAGTTTTATAAAATACAGTTGGCCACAAATGTAGGCTTTCAATTTGTGGCAACTGTGATATAATAAATATACAGTTCTGTAATGAAAAAGGTCTAATTTAATTAATCTCCACATTCCTCTAGGTTACGACATAGCAAAAGAGCAAAAATATATCTTTGCCTGAAAATTTTAAGTTAAACTAGGTAATTAATATTATGATAAAAGTCTTACAATGGACAATTGATGAAATGTATGCGGATCCAACACTATCACCTCCCCATCTTCAGTGCCAACAACCAGACAGCTAACAGACTGCCGTTCAATTGAATGCATTTTCAATGTTGTAATACATGCCACTTCAGGTATCTTCCTTGAAGGCATTTCAGTCATTTGTTCCACATACTCAAGCTGCTGGTCCAAAGTCATTGAGAGGAAATTACGTGATTCTGCACTGAGTACTTTATGAGGAACTGCTTTCAGATTTTCTGTGAGAATTGGTATAACTTCCTCATTGTGGTTTTGTGGGTCCATTATCTGAAAAATTAATAGCAGTGTTGACGAACTTTTTTGCCTGTTTGGTTCCATGAAGGCAAACACAGTAGGTAGGTTCTATACAATAATGAAATGGTTGGCTTTTCATAAACTGTTTAACAGATTAGATTGTGATTATTGGTAAATTAGGAATATTCCTCAATTGCACATGTGCATTTTGTAATGAAGAATTAATAGATACCTGTTTCCAAATTTCCGATTCACTAGTACTTAGGTCAATTGATGGTAAATAGTATTTATAGAATAATTTCATGTTCTTATAAATGTAAATGCAAGAACTGAATGCAACTGCTACCACAGGTGGAATTCTGGGCACTGTATCAGAAGCATAAAACCCAACAACACCCAGAGGCAAATCAGGCAGGGGCAAATCTAACAGTTGCATTGCCCCTCTAAAAACCTGAAAAAATGGACACCATTTATAATCGAATATAAATTTGTAAATCGAACAATATTTTAGGTAGTGCAAGGTGGGTCGAAAATCTAGTCATAACGTTGAAATCAAAGCATGTAATTATCTCCAAATAACTATTAGGTACCTACCTTAAGCTTCGGACCTTCTTCACCTTTCCCTAAGTCACCAATCAGCAACTTATATTCGTTATCATTGTGTAGATCAACGAGAGCAAGGTTCGACGGCAAAGTATTAATTTCTATGTCATCATTACCAACTTCAACGTCTAACCAACGAGTCATAGTGGTTATAATATAATTGTTGATAAAAGTACTGCTACAAATAAATGGCTTGAGAAATCAAAGTTTAGGGATTTCGTAGAACCTTTTTGATAACCTCACCATTTGTTTTGTTGTCACGATTTGACACATTGTTACTATGGCAACTAGGCATACGTTCCGATCTACACTCCGGTGGGTACAACTTTAGTGCAACTGTGCATTGCATGTTTATATTATACATATGTAGTCAGGTTTCGGTAATGGAGCGTATTATTAAAAAGAAATATAAATTATGAAGTTTACTTGAAATACATTACAGTATTTAACTTATTTTTATATTAAACTAAATAGTCTACGATAGACCAAGGTGAACCTTCGCTCGATGCGGGAGGCGAAATGAGTTGTAGGATCATTGTGCCTTTGCTATTTAAGGGTCATGATTGTGTGACGTCACTCCCGAAAAGGGCTTCGTACCTGGGAATGTTTATATTATTTGAAGTGGTCTGGTGTTATCTCGAAATACTTAGAGATGCTTAGAATATCAATTAACACCAATCGATAGTGAGGATTGTTATTTTTAATTATCGAATTTTAAAATGTATTGCCTTCAGGGCACTTGTGTTTATTGAGATCCCTCTTAATAGTGACGAAATAATTATTAACACCAATCGAAAGTGACAAGTGTTATTTTCAAGTATCGAAAAATGGATTGCCTTAAGGGCACTGTGTTAATTGAGTTCCTCTTAATAGGTACGAAATAATATTATTGACATTCTATGAATTACGGCAATGGTGTGGATTGATCACCCATAACAATGTATATGGCACAGCTGCTCTTTTTATTATTATCTAATAGGGTGAACACTGTTTTCTTTTTCAGGGATATATTATATAAGTTTTTTATAAAAGTATATAAAAAAAGTGCAACCAATGTTTCATGACAAAATAGCATTTTTCATTTTTCCATACCTCAAACCAGTCATACCATAAACCAAAGAAATATATTTTTCTAACTATTCATATTGAACTATGATTTGATGCCGACACTCACATGGCCATTCATATTTGCTTTTAGTAAACATGACAACAGTCTCCCCTTTTCATTCTATATCGTCCCTAGAGTTTAATAAGGACAACCTAGGTAGTTTTCCAATAACAGCACTAGAGCGCATTAAACGGCATAATGCTTATCGTTGAATGTTTCAACTACAGCAACGCTTCGCACAATCGAGCACTCTCAAAAGTAATGTTTTCGTGTGATGCGTGCAATAGTACCAACTCAGTGTCAGAAAATTAACAAGTGTTTTTTCTTTAAATTGACATTGATCGAAATGATTTATTTATTTAATATCGTTAGTAATATTATTTATTATTGAATTTTTTTTAAAGCTTTCGTCTCATTGCAGTTTTTTTTAAATAATCATAGTTAATTCAAACTGTAATAAATATAAGTACTTATGGATGAAGGTACAAACATTGACTTTTGTTTTCAACACTGAACTTAGCGCACTCTGCTGGTGCATTTGAAAACTAATTCACGCATCAGCATAATTCAACATTGTGCGCCACTGAGTCGCATTATGCTCTGTAATTGGAAAACTACCCTAATTTAAAAATTACAAAATAATGGTATCAATTCTAGCGTGATTCTCTAAACTTAAAACTAAATTTAACATCAGCCTCTCCTTTTCATTCTGTATAGAGAATGACAAAGATATACTGCTGTCAAATTTAAGTTTAAGTTTAGAGAATCACGCTAGAATCGACACCAATATCAAATACGTGAAGTGCCGGTTTAAATGATGTTGTATGCTACCGAAATGAAAATATTCAACTCCGTTCCTTTATTCCAGACGGATCCCTCACAATTTGACCAAGTCTCCAAAAATGCAAAAGTGCATTGGAATCGGGACTTATGAAAAAAGGATTTTTGAAAGAATAGAAAATCATTTCAGTGAAATCGCTAACAAAACTTCCATTTTCCTGAAACAGCTATTATATTTTTGTCCAATACTTTATCACCATACTCAGTTACTGTTCTTGTTATCTTTTTATCCTCTAGTCCGTGAAATAACAGTGAGCAGACGTGGGTTCGATTACTTCAAAAATATTCTGTCATCACTGCTTCAAAATAACTTTCATTTTATATCAACGTACATCAGTAACATCAGTGACATAAAAAGTTAAATATATGTGCGCAATAAGAACAGTAATTTATTCCTTTCTCAAGACTACACCACATAAGTGATCACGTGTTCAGAGTGCTCATCAAAGCTATATTCGATTCTAGCATAATTCTCTAAACTCAACTTCTGTCTCTCCTTTTCATTCAGTATAGAGAATGACAAAGATACGCTGTTGTCAAATTTAAATTTAGGTTTAGAGAATCCTGTCAGTATCGACACCATAGTATACGTTAAATTTTAAGATGCCACCACAGTGGTTGCCCCTCTCAGACAACAAAAAATCGTTATCACACTCCGACTTAAACTAAGATGGACATACATTGTTTTCACAACTACCCCCAAAACGTACATACATTGTTTTCACCGGGGGACAAAAATCTACTTTAACATAGCGCTAATAACTATAAAACAGTCCTAGTCATGGTTCAAAAATAAAGATTACCTATTATAATTTATTATTATTATCATCTTTACTAGAATCATGATCATCCTAATAACCTACAGTAATGGATTTAATATATTTTTTACTAGCTTAAGTATCTGCGCAACTGAAGATTTGTAGAATCTAACTGAATACTTTTGAAGTTATACTTCTTTAGGCGCGTTATGAAAAAATGATGAGAGTGAAATTTTAAGATGCGCGCGCATCACTGTAACACAAAAAATTAACAGCATGAAGTTGGTCGCTTTAGCGACCAACTTCATGCTGTTACTTTTGTGTTTACCGCACATTCAGAAAATCTACCAACAAAATAGAATCTCTATTTTGTGGGTGCTAACGACTGCATTGTGAAGGCCTATCAAAAGTATTTATTAATCTGGAACAACGGAACCAAAGCGCGATTCAGGAGACTACAGCGCCATCTCTTGACCATTGGTGTAGTAGAACCAAAAACCACATCTTTATTTTTTGTAATAAAGTAACAGTTATAGGTATTCATATTTATAATATTTATCCACATGTTTCTAGTTTGTATATTCGGAATACGTGTTTGAGTTTCATACAAGTGCAAATCACATATGTTCTAATAAATTATATTCAGTAGCGATTTTAATTGAATATTTTGATTATTTATTTATTTTTTCAAATTAAAACTGAACTTTATTGACTGTGTCCTTTTCCAGACTTTTTATTAATTTATTGTAATTAATTATTTGCATGCAATTAAAAACTATTTTTAAACGATGCCAAAGAAGGATAACTTCTCACGCGCCTACATAAGTACACGCACCCATTTTTTAAAATTAAATGTACCTCTACGTTTTTTGGTCAAGTAGATATGAGAACTTTATTAAAGTGTTTATTGAGAAAGCAGGCTTACATTTCGTACTAAGCACTGCAAAATTATTCAATTCAATTCAATTCAATTCATTTATTGTAGACCATAATGGAGATACAAAGGTGGTAACACATAGACAAAAAGTGCAATATGGACCCTGTAGTGTAGGGTATCGCAATTGCAAGAGGAGAGGACGTCTTATTCATAATTCCTTATTGTGATATAATTTGTTATATCCAATGAATTAAAACCCATAAAAATTATTTATTCATACTACTCCAATAAGATATTGTATAATTAGATTTATGATTTATGTACGATTATTAATTATGTAAGTATTGTATTATATCTTTTTATAATAAAAATAATATTGTATTTGTTATATTTATTCCATTGTAGTTTTATCATTTAGGTATTCCTGGAGGCTATAATAGCATTTATTCAATAACATTAACTTAATTTTTTTAATAAAAACATTGTAATTTTCTTCATTTTTTAAATTTTCAGGTAATTTATTATAGATTGTTATAGACATATTATAAGTGCTCGATGAGCATAATTTAAGGCGAGTAGTTGGAACCATTAGGTTTTTCTTGTGTCTCGATGTATATTTTGAAGGAATGTTTTCTCTTCTAGTAAAAAAACAATTACAATGCGTCACATTCACATTTCAATAAAAAAAGGAGGAAAATAAAAATATTGAAGAAGAAGTTGTATGCATAGACTTAGTGCTGAATAGGCTTATTATTTTTTGCCTTGCCAAATAATGAAAATATTAAAAAAAATAATGAGCCTGTATGGACATTGTTTTTTTTGCCTTCCTTTAAAATAAGAACTACAAAAAAAAGATGATAATGAATGACAAATTTCCGTACTCAGAGATATCAAATAAATTTAATGCCATTTAAGTCACATGCTATCTCGTTCTAACTTCATCGCAAAGAAAGAGATATCACTAACTTTCTGATTTAATCACACTTAAAAACTTAATTGACGTTTTGTACGGACGAGAAATGGTTTGTTTACAATTTTGTTTTGATTGAAAGTTTGTCTACGTACTTTTAAAACTTAAACAAAGAATTAATGATTTATATAACTCGGTTTAAAAGTAAAGAATGTGAAAGAAAAACGAGTGAAAAAGATCATTTTATTTTATTATTTTCATATAAATAAGTTCTACATCGCGGCTGATGGTAAGTTTTTACAAACTTTTTATAAACGATTGTCTTGTTTCTTTATTCTAAGTTCCATATTAACTCCATACTACTTGAGTTACTGTGGAACTATTGAGTAAATTTTGTAATTCTATTTTTCATAAATGTTCATTTCAATGATTTTGTAAGTACCTACACATATATAACAAACATTTTATTTGACACCTATCCATTAAAAAAACAGGTCAAACATTCAAAGTCCTACGACAAATTATGTCATGAATTTATAGGATAAATTTTAAATAAAAATAGTTTTTACGGGTTAATGCACGAAACTTTATTTATTTATTGACGTTTCGCAGCCTTTTCAGGTCTGCATCGTCAGAATAATCATTATAACTAGTTTTATTTAATGAGTGATGTGCGTGAAAACCTAAGAAACAAATAGGATAAATTTTGTTTAGAAATATTTTCAGTTTTATATTTCCTAATCATCAGTTGACTGTTTTTAACTGTGTGAGTAAGG